GATAAATGTTCAGATATTTAACTTAAATTTGTTTGCATTATTTATGCCACAACTGTGTACAAATGACAATGATGAGGTACCCATAGGTGCCTTTGGGCACCCAGGAAAGCATTATGAGATTAGTCTTAACTAACCAACGGACGTGAATTTTCAGTCTTGCTCTTCGTGAAATAGTTGCATATCTAAAAGTTATATGTGATGATTTTATGATGTTGAAATAACTTTTTTCCACCATCAAATGGGATTCAGAGAAACAAAGAAAGAGGTGAAAAAGGGACAAATAATCTTCTGCCTGAAAAGATGTTGAGGTCGGCAGTTAAAATAAGAGATCAAAGTAAGAAATATTCCCCTTGAACTGCATAAAGCTGTTTTATTTTGTTGAACATGTGTAATACCAACACAATTATCCACAAAAATGATTTTAAGGAAATCGTGGAAATAGATCCCCCCTCTAACAAATTCATAGAATGTCAATAAGTTTGGATAGAAAAAAGTTCTGAAACTGGTTGCGTAACAAGATTAAATACGGGGGAAAATCTGAATATGGCGAAATTCTTTCCAGTACTATCGTCCCAAGCCATCTTCTGTAGATTGGTTTTGAGAAACTCTTTTCAAAGAAAACCGTGAAAATGATACAAGAGCAAAGCAAGACATATGTTCAAAGGAATCACTAACTGAATGTTACGACAGAAGAAATAAAAGTTTCCATAGGCATTTTGCTTTGTGCACGACTGTTGGTTTCTTAATACATGAGAATGTACTAGAAAAGTCTCAAGTATGCAACAATCTTGTTTCATATTGTAGAAGAAGGAACAGTTCCATCGAAATCCAGCAGTATTTTCTTTTCACATTGAAAACAATAACTTAAGGAATATTATAATTGAATTCTTGCCGGCAAACTGCACAGGCAAGTTACAGCCAAAGGATTTAGGGATAAACCATTCTTTCCAGACCTACTGCGGCGGCGATGATGTAATGGTTGTGTCGATGGCGTATTGGACTGTTATACCCAAGCTGGCGGGTTCAAACCCAATTGACGCCATGGACGAGCGAAAAAATCCTTCGTACGGAATGGAATGTAAAGCCGGCTGTCCCATGTTAGTGCATTTACTTGCATGTACAAGATCCTCAAACCTAAATGACGCCTCTGACCTAAATTCAAAATCGCCTTTTTCTCACCCAATATCCCCTTACTCCACTAGTTGGTGAAAGGATCGTAGCGAAATTTGCGTCGTCAGGCGGAAGAGCAGGTCTGATGGCCCGAGTCTCGCCACGTAAAGTAAGGCATTAATTTAATTTAATTTAAATTTACTACAAAATAATGTTGGCTGAGATGATTAGGTTTAAGGGAGTCAAGGAAGGACAAAATAACATTTGGAATATCTATTCTTAATCCACTGCATTATATCGCAAAGGCACAGAAAGAAGTGAATCAATCCTGTATCTGTAACAGCTTAGAGAAGCTGACTTAAGGACTATGACTATCTGTCTGTGACGTCATGGATGCTCACAGAACACAGACACACTTTTCACCCTAGCTCTGATAGACCTGCTATCCCCTGATCGCAACACGATTGATGGTCGGTTTCAATTGTGGCACTCGCCACTCCTACATCTGCAGCGTGCACAAAGCCGAGATTCCGTGACCGGATGTCACACTGGGACACGAAGTCCATACCAGCGTACCAACTGGTGGTTTGCCTTGATCTTACCCGATTGAGAATCGGCCGTGAGTCGTGGTACTCGACAACTCTTCACCTCAGAGCACGCACACAGCATAGCTCCCACGTGACCGCAGTCACTCAAGGATACAAAGTCCTCCACAGGCTCATCAACGCGTGACTTGCCTCGCGAGCCCTGCTCGCCGCTGCACCGTCGTGGAGGCAAATTTGTGCATTCGCACTACGTTCTCCCAGTGTCTTCAGAACTAATTAAGTGAAAAAGAGAAAGAAAAAGAAGATGGTGATATTTCTGCATGGGAGAAGTTGAAAATACATTGTGCAAACAGTGTCTGTAGAATGTATGATCGATATAGTTCACGGAGAAAATGACAATCAAAGCAGCAATAGTGATTTTGATGATGACAATGATCGTGATAGTAGCGTGCCTAGTTGTGCAGAAGTAGTTTGAGGAATAAACTCAATAAAAAATATATTTCTACAGCCGATGGTGACTAAATTTTTATAATATATAGGAACTTCAAAAGCAAATTTGAAGAATTCTCCAGAAGGCAAAAGTCATGAACTTTAGAGGTTTAACAAAAAATACAAGAATTCTTTTAATTTGAATTGGAATACAAAAGAAATACAAAACATACTTACTGATTGTTAAAAATAATAAATTTTCTGTATATTATTACAGGTACAAAAGGATTTTTCCCTCTATTTACTTCATTTCTTCTAGGTCTCTTGAAAAGTGTAAGAGGGGTTCAATTAAGACTAGAAAGTGTAAATAAATAAATAAATAAAATAAAAATAAAATAAAAAATAAAAAAAAAAGAAAGAAAAAAAAGAAAGAAAGAAAAAAAAGAAAGAAAGAAAGAAAGAACGTGGAGAAAGAACTGGAGACATCAAGCAGGTTTGGAGGTTACTATACTTGAAAGAACACTGTATGGCATTTGGAATTCCATGAGTTATTTTCCCCTTCCTGGTTTCAGTACATGCAACACTGCCTGTAACACACCCCACGCCACTGAAGGTGGCACACTGATAATATTCAAATTTAAATATTATACATTTC